AGGCCAAGAGGTTTTTTCTGCAAACACACACTGCTTTTTGATTAGTTAAAAACCAACCAAATAAAAGCAACAAAAAAATAACCTGAACCCCAAATGATTCAACAGGAAAAGAATACTCTCTTTAGGGACTGTGGATCCCAGGTGGCATGCATCTGGATGCTTTTAGCATTGCGGGACTTTAATGCTAAGGGCTGAAAACATTTATACCCAGCTCTTCCTGGTATTGATTTCTCTCACACTGATTTAGTGTGGGGCCTCTTGGCATCTCTCTACTGCTTCTAGCAGCTGACTTTTGGCCCCAAAGGGCTTTATTTAATGAAAACTTGGGGCTTATACTGTGAGAAAGATGCCCCAGGAATTAAAGTTGTAGACATCCCAATGGAGAAAACATCAAGACAAGAGTCATGTGCTGTGCAGTGGATGAGATGATGATAGGAAGCCTCCACCAAAGTATGTTTTAAAGGGAAGAGGGAGCAGCAACCTTCAAATGACTGTTGAGAGTTAAAAGAAGCTCTTATTACTGAAAGATAAAGTGCTTACATGAAATATGTGCAGAAGTTGCACTGGGAGAGGGATCAGAAGAGGAGGGGAGTCACATATTAGAATCTTGGAGAAGACTGGCTACATATTAGAGCCACTTACAGACAACCATGGCCATTGGGGAGAGTTAAAACAGGGTACGCTTTAAAAATAAACCTTTTATTTTAGAACAGTTTTAGATTTACAGAAAAATAGTGAAGATAGTATATAGACTTCCCATACACCCCACAGCCAATTTCCCTTATTGATAACATCATAATGACTATTTGTTACAATTAATAGACCATGTGTATTTGTTAGTAAATCAGTATTGACAAATTATTATGAACTAAAGTTCATATGTTATTCAAATTTCCTTCATTTTTATCTAATGTTCTTTTTCCGTTCCAGGATTTGATTCATATTCCATTTAGTTCTGTTATCTCCTTAGTATCCTCCAGGCTGTGACAGTTTCCCAAACCCTCCTTGTTTTTGATGACCTTCACAACTTTGAGAAGTATTGGTCAGGCATTTAGTCAAATTTCTCTCACATGGTGACACAGGATTTGTCTCACACTTTTCTCATTAGTAGACTGGAGTTATGTGTTTTTCTGAAGAAGACCATATAGGTAAAGCGCCATTTCCATCACGTCATATCAAGGATCCATATTATCCACATGACTTATAGCTGTTGATGGAACAGGAACATTTTTAATGGGAGACTGAATTGCAACAGACATTGAGTGTTGGGGATTAAGAACATTTTACTCCTCAAATGTGGTGTATTTCAGTTAGTGTTGCTTCTCACAAAATAAAAAATGGTCAAAACAAACAAAACAAACAAACAAGCAAAAAGCAAGTGAAGCAGTGGTAAAACCTATTTGACTGCAGTTCCAGTTGCAAACTGAAAGGCTTCCAGTTTTTCAAACTGGTTTTCACTGAGACTTTTGGTTTTTTTTACCAGAAAACACCCATGTGTGCAAGCAAATCTTGAAACTGTAAGTCTGTAACTGAGAAACTCCACCCATTCAGAAATAAGTCGTTAAATAAGAGAGGTTTAGGAGTTTTTCAAATGAATTGTTATGGTTCCATGGTTCATATCTTCAGGAACTAGCTGGACAGTGCTCTGACTCTCCTTGGCTCACCTATCCAACAGGGTATTGATTTTTACAGAAATTTTGTAAAATATCAAGACAAAATTAGGATAATCATAAGTTTTTGTGCTTTCATTATGTGAGTCCTTCATCTTCTCTGTGTCAAAGACTTTGTGCAGGTAGTAAAGGCATTACATTTTCAAGCGCTGATGCCTCAAACACTATGGCTGTGGTTATTTTAGCAAGAGTAGACGACGTTTATCACATATGGGGCTCCAAAGCCACCCACCTGAGTAACTGGAGTGGAGATAAGCATGATGGACTAAAAGGCATTCCTGATGACGGCAGTGGACAGTTTTCCTGGTCGTTAGAGGTGCCAGGTAGACATCTTCTGTTTGGAATGTTTGGAGGAAAGAATCTCAGTGAAAGTGTATTTTTTTGCTAGGGCTGCCATAACAAAGTACCACAGACTGGGGGCGCTTAAACAACAGCAATTTATTTCCTCACAGACCTGGAGGCTAGAAGTCTGAGATCAAGGCGTTGGCAGGGTTGATTTCATCTGAGGCCCCTCTCTTTGGCTTGTAGATGGCCATCTTCAATGTGCCCTCACATTTCTTTCCTCTGTGTGTGTCTGTGTCCTAATCACCTGTTCTCATGGGGACACCAGTTATATTCAACTAGGACCCACACTAATGACCTCTTGTAACCTTAATTATGTTGTTCTCATTGTTTTTGTTGTTTTTTTTAGGTTTAATATTTATTATTCAACAAATATTTATTGAGTACTATGTTTACCTTATGGGCTTTAATTTTTTTTAAATTTTAATTGTTGTGGGTACTTAGTAGGTGTATGTATTTTGGGGGTATGTGGTATGTGAAATATTTTGATATCTCATGCAAAGTGAAATAATAACATCAGGGAAAATGGGGTATCTATCACCTCAAGCATCCACCCTTTCTTTGTGTTGCAAATGACACAATTATATACTCTTTTAGTTATTTTTAAATGTACCATAAATTATTGTTGACTGTAGTCACTCTGTTGTGCTATCAAATACTAGACCTCATTCATTTTAACTATTAACCATTTTTTTGTACCCATTTAGCATCTCTACTTTCCTCCCCAGCCCCCCACCCCCGACTACCCTTCCCAGCCTGTGGTAACCATCCTTCTACTCTCTATCCCCATGAGTTCAATTGTTTTGATTTTTGCTCCCATAAAGAAGTGAGAACATGTGAAGTTTGTCTTTCTGTGCCTGGCTTATTTAACTTAACGTAATGACCTCCAGTTCCATCCATGTTGCTGCAAATGACAGGATCTCATGTTTTTATGGATGAATAGTATTCCTTTGTATATATGTACCACATTTTCTTTATCCATTCATCTGTTGATGGACACTTAGGTTGCTTCCAAACCTTGGCTATTGTGAATAGTGTTGCAATGAACATGGGAGTGCAGATCTCTCTTTGATATATTAATTACATTTTTAAAGACACTGTCTCCAAATACAGTCACATTCTGAGATAGTGGAGATTAGGGCTGCCACACACAAATTTGGGGGGACACAATTCGGTCCATAACAGGAAGGGTAAAGGATTCAGTAAAATAGATGTTTCCTTCTCTCCAGACCTGGGTTTCCAGGAGTTTCTGATGACTGACATTTGATGCTGACTTTTTGCTGGGCTATTTGAGGGGAATTTAACAATGGAGAAAAATGTGAGAGGGAGCACTTCATGTGGGGAGAGCCATGCTGTGTAATATGGCTTTGTCAGGAGCCCATTTCCGGACCTTACCTGTGGTGTTTGCACAGCTGTTCTGTCATTGTACTCCTTGGCAGCCTGAAGGCTGATTTCCTGGTGAATTTTCACCTAATTTCCTTTGCCTCTGCCTTATAAGTGATAGTTTCATGTCTGAACTTTAAAAACGGCATCAGCCAGAATGGCTGATTGATTAATTTACAATGAGAAATGTAATCATTGAGTGGACTGGGTACTCCAGTTTCTTGTCCAGCATGTGCTTTCCCTGCAGGCAAATGTAAGTGGGAAGCCAAATTATCATCAGAAGGTGGCTTGGTGAGCATGGAATCAGGCCGGGGGAATTAGGGATGAGATTCGGCGTTCCTGTGCTTTTTATTCTTTGGGCCAAGCAGCGCTGAGCAGCCTAGACTGGCAGCACGTGCTGGCTGCCTCTGCCTCTGCTACTCTCCCTGACTTGCCATTGCCTCCTCTGGCAAACTCAGCAGGCAGGACTCAGCTCAACCATCTCTGCCTCGGAAAAGCCTTTCTTCATTTCCCCAAACAGAGGAAGTCTCTTTTCTTCCTTACCCCTGTGGTGCTTTATGCTAAGTATGTATTTGGCATCCTGTGTTTTGGTTATTTACTCAACTGTCTCCTCCGCTGAACTCAGAGAAACTTAAGTGAAGGGACTTAATTGTGTTTACTGTATTCAGTGCAAGTTACTGTATTCAGTGCAAGTTACTGTATTCAGTGCAAGTTACTGTATTCAGTGCAAGTGGTCAGTGTTCAATAACTGCTAACTGCTTAATAGAAGTTATCATTATGGAGTAATTCACATTACGGTGGGGGTTTATATATATATTTGTTTTTGTTTTTGCTTTATGTTTTAAAATAGTTTCCAGTAAGTTGCTCATGAGACATGATCTTACATTGCACTAATAGCTATGAGGTGAGATAGGCAGGTAGGCAGCAGTATCAGATGACAACATACTTAGAGGTTAAGTGATTTGTCAATCAGTTAAAGGCACTTTCCACCAAACCTGCTTGTCTTGGGAACTGAATCTTCTCTCCCGTGAGTTCTCCCTGTTCTTGCCCTGTGGACTGATACTTATGGCTTAAGCCTTTCTCCCACATCCTTAGTTTTCCTCTTTACCCCTCCTTAGGAGCCTGGAGCTCTCTGAGTGCTTGGTGTTCTCTCTTTAAAAGGGCCTTCTCTTACTGGGGAGGATTCTGCACTTGAAAATCGTGCTCTCCCCTCTTTTGAGCACCCATTTTCTCCTCATACATTTCTCTTCTAATTTCCAGGTCAAACTCTCATTCCCTCAGACGTTTAGTCTTGTGAAGAAAGCAATGTGATTAAATTTAATTTACACTAAGATGTTAATAACATCCTCAGGGTATTTGCATATTAAGATTTTAGGAGTGAATTCCTTATAGCAATGTTCTGAAAGCTGGCTACATGTTACCATGTTGGCATTTCTCTCTCCCTCTCTCTCTGTCTCCCCACACACACACACATACAAACATACAAGCGCATGCACACACACATACACACACATTTAATTGTGTTTACTCTGTATATGGTAAAATTTCCTGGACCATTAGAAACTTTTTTTTAATGTTTTTAAAATAAATTTCTATACCTTGCAGTCCAGATGCTACCATGAATTTCTTCAGACCATCAGCAACTAGTCATTATAACCTTTGGGGAGATACAGCGCTTCACCGGTGAGTCATTAGCTTTTGGGCCTAGAGAACAAATCTGAAGGACCTTTTCATATCTTATAATTAAATACATTCTGCAGCTTGCAGATAAACATGCTGATCTGACAGCGAGTTAAGGAGGTTTATCAGCATTTGTGCACCTGCAGCGTTACACTAAAAGACATGACTTCATTAAAACTCACTGTGCTTGTGAGAACAATGAGGACTGGTGGTAGGTGTTAAAAAGAAAGACACTACTAGATGGCGGCTTTAAGCTCATCTTTGAAGGGATGAACTCATTCTATCCGACATGTCCAGCTGTGCAAACAGCAGCACCGAGTGAGCTGCAGTTAGCTGTACTAATACATGGGATTAGAACAGAGGCTGGGCCACATACAAATGATGTGAATGCTTAATATACTTGAACACTATGAATGCTGCACAGAGGGGGAATAAGAGCCCCAGAAGTGACAGAGGATATTTTGCTAACTGTCATAAAAAAGATAGTATGTTAGGGCCTTCTAGGAACATTTCTCTTGCTGGTGACTTTTACCTTTTGAGGCCAATGTTTTCTTAGATGAAAAAACAATACAAAACATCGATCTCTCAAAAAACTCCACAGGGAAATAACAAGGGTTGCCACAGTTACCATTGTTCTCTCATAAAATCCCAGAATGAGAAAACCATGGGGTGTGTGTGTGTGTGTGTGTGTGTGTGTGTGTATGCATCTGTGTGTGTATGTAAATGTGTATTTGGGCTTCATCTGCGATAGCATCTCAAGCTACAAAATAGGTGAATGGGTGGTCTAGGTGGGCATTAGCAGTGAGAGACAAAGAGTCTGGGCAACAGGGATTCAGTGATTGGGCTTGAAGGCCCAGTCATGAAGGTGTTAGAAAGTGGGTCAAAGGAAGCACAACTCAGGTTCTAGAAACCTTGGCAACTTCTAGGATAGAAGCAACACAGGCCTAGGAGCAACACAGACCTTGATACTGATGCTAATCTCCTCTGAGGAAGTGTTAATGGGAGTGGATTCTTTATATGATTCCTGTCCTTAGTGAGAGCTGTGGGTAGACTGAATAGAGCTGAACCAAGCTCCTTCATGGGCAGATGAAAAGGAGGTTGCAGTGGGAGGAAAACCAGCAAGTCCTGAACATTTGGAGACCCATCCCCAACCCTCACAGCGCTGCTGTAAAAACTGAAGAATGAAGGATTTCATAACATCTTCTTCCTTATTTCCCTAAGATTTGAAAATGCTAGTTATCCTTGAAAGTTTTCTGAGTAGTGCAAAACATATATAGGTTGGTTTCTCTACTAGTATTAGGAGCTGAATATCATAAGTTCCTATGTTCCAGGACCTTAAATGAATGGATCTCTTCGGGAGGTGTCCTGAAACATTATTCTACCACATTTGGCTCATGCAGTCAGAAGAGCCTTTAATATAATATACGTAAGTGATCCCAGGAGACCAGGAGTACTTCTGACAATGTCGTTGCAGTCCATAATTACGCTTTTCCTTATTTTAGTCATGTTTCATGAAACTTATACTATCTCTTTGTCCTTTGCCAGAATGTATGGCAAGAGCTGAAACAATCTGTTTTTTAAGAAAGTTTACTTAGGTAAGATGTGATCGTGAGTCAGAGCCAGAGATGAAGTAAAAGACATAACTCCATGTTGTAAATAATCACAGTATTAGTTCACAGAGGTCTTTTTGGAAACATGAGTAAATTATCTTGTGTAACAACATATTTGCATATTTAGCATCTCTAGATAAACTATAAACTCCTTTAAGAATGTTATTTGCTTCTTTTATATCTCCTATCAGTGTAACACAATGCTCAATGTGGTAAATGTTCACATTCAGTTACAACTGGTAAATGTAAATGAGAAACACACATAACTAACACATTATATAAATATGCTCATGAATTTATCTAAATCAAATCACACTTAGTCAACTCCTTTGGCAATATATCTAGACCTGCCTATTTCATGCATTGCAAGCAATAGAGGTCAGGAATTATTGGCACGGTGGTCAATAAGTTACTGAAGTTAATCTTCATTTAATGAATCATCAGCAAGGGAGCTACACAGATGACAAGTGTTCAATTTTCAGAAATCTCTTGCCCAATCTGTCTCTCTTCCTTCTGTCTTCCTAGTTATTGATTTGATGTATGAGCCCCTCCTCCCAATCCTTCAGCCAGCACCCTTGAGAGTTCAGCCTTTTAAAGATGTTCTCATTAGAGTCAATAATTCACCATGGCATATTATATAGTACCCTGAATATCTATAAAGCCGTTCTTTCATGTTGTACATCCTGGGGTGCTCAAATAATTAATTTCTCTAGCTATAAAGAACAATACCTTCTATTGTGAGTGGTAAAATGTACTATACACTGAACCGATTGTATGGACATGGCTTGGAGACAAGCTCTGCTGGAGAGTTTCTCAAGAGGATTTTAATGTTGAAGACAGGTAGTTCTGTTCTTGGGCTGATATGAAATCATAAAATAAAGTGTAAATGTTCTTTGGAATTAATCAATTACCAATTGGTCCAAATACTTTCTTTGGGCATTTTTTTTCTTTCCTCTAATTTTTAAGAGTAAAAGAACTCTTAAAAATAGTTTATTTAGTATAATTGAAAACTCTTGCTTGGCATAAAGCATTCCAAAGACATAATACCAAGACCCAGGAGAAAATGCCAGTGTCTGTCTCTCACATTGATTCAGAACTGTTTAGATTTTAAAACAGGTATTTGTATGAATGCTAAAGACTTTTTGTTAATTAATGTTAATGAAGGCCAGTCATATCCCAATTTAGCTACCTAAAGAGGGGAATAACAATACGCACATTAACATTTTAATTACTGCTAAGTAAAATAAAGACTTCAATTTAGTTTGTGGCAAATCAGTAACAATTTAGATACATTTAAAATTACCTTTTAAACTTTTGTAGTATAATTAAGAGTCGGGGGTCTCAGATTCAAATACCAGCTCTGCCAAAAACTAACTAGGTGGCCTTGAGTTAAGTCATTTAAGTTAATCTGGCCTTGGTTTCCTCAGTCCTATAAAATAGATTAGTTCCTTCCAGTTCTAGTACTCTATGTTTCTTTCTATGATCATCACTTAGACCTCCAATAAATAAATCACTCACTCCACTGGAATAGAAACATTAAGTAGCCATCTTTTTTTTTTTCCTTGAATAAATCCTGGGCAAAAGGTATTTATGGGAGCAAAGAAATGAGTGAATTATTGCCAAAACATGTATGTTCCCTTAGATGGAAGAGTTCCTGGGATGAAATTTTTGTTTTATAGGAGACTGGCTTAGGAAACCCAAGACAGAATGTATATCTATTCATTTCTAGGTCATAGTGTGAAAACTTCCATCAGAAATCTGGGAGCAGTTCTTAAGTCAAAAAACAGACCTGGAATCACAGTATCCATACATAACAGTTGGAGGACAAAAGACATTGCCCCAGAGACCAGAGGCACCAAAATATGCTACACCTAGCTACCTGAGAATGCCTCTAGCTGGCAACTCCAGCAAAGGCCCTTTTCCCCATCCTTGGCCATCATGAGTGAAAGCAAAGAACTGAAAGACTGAAAAATCTGAGACTGAGCGTTCCTTCCTGGAGAGACTAGTACCATATCAACCAGATTGGATATGTGTTTATTTTTCTTTTCTGCCATTCAGCACGTGGCAAAGACCCAGTTAGTTATAAACAAAATGAAAGAGGTTGTATTTCTAAAATTTTGCACGTCTAAGTTGTAGTATGTATTAAGTTTGTATCCTTGTTATATGTGATTCCCTGCTGTGGCCCAGCAGATAATATAAACACTGTATTTTATAGACCCCAAATTTAATACTGGAATCTTAAGCAAAGAAACAGTCTTTCTCACACATTTTATCATATTTGTCACTAAAAATCCTTTGTCTCCAGGAATATCAATCTGGGTACTGTTCCTAAGAACCCAATTGGTACAACTTTTTGGAGTTAATAACATTGTGTTCCCACTGGTTTCCATTGCTGTTTTGTGCACAATTCCCCACTGAGTATTTGATGAATTTCTACTCCTTGGGGGCCCCATTTTTTGTGTGAGTATGCTGAGGATCCATGCGTCTTGTCACAGGGAGGAAGATGATTTCCTCTGATAACATTCCCCTGGTACCTGAGGAGCTTATCACAGCCCTTTATTTGTCTGTTTCTGTTATGTTGGCATGCGTCCAGAGCAATGGGAAAGAAAAGGTTGTGCTTTTACAGGGAACATTTTATTCCCTCTTGGGAAAAGTGAACATGACTCAATGTCAGGAAGGGAAATTTTTCATACAGATAAAGAGAATGAACATCCGCCTACCTCTTTTAATAGTTAAAACACATTTACAGTCCTTTTGTATTTTGTTTTCTTGAAGAGCTCAAATTATTTTAGAAAATCTGATTTCTTGAAACCAGACCTGCCCCAGCTTGTTTTGTGTGTGAAGAGGGACTATTTTTCATTTCTCAAAAGACCTCTGTGGTGAGGGGGGGCCAAGATGGTGAGGTCAGGTTGGATATGGGTAGGTGGGGGAAGGTTTCTGAAATAAAGAACCAAAAGCTGGGTGCAAGCTGAACTTTCTCCCTAATGAGAGAAACCAAGAGGGTAATTAAAATTATTAAAGATAGATCGGGTAAGGCATTTGAACTTATCAATAGGTTTTAACGTATTGGATTGCTATTAAATAGTCACAAAAACTGCATCCTGATTTTGAAGGTGGTGGATATTAGAAGGGACTTGGGCAAATCCAAGCCTCAGTTTACCTTTGTAAATTTATCATTTGTCATTTATTTGAAAATCTCAACTCCTTAATAGAACTGTAAGTCTCCAGAGAGCATAGAGTCTGTGTTTCCTTTTATTAAAAAATGACTTCTTGTTCTACTTCTCAGAGTACCCAGCTTAGCTCTGAGTATGTGCTCAGTAATGTTGTAGGTGTCTCAATATGTGTATTTTAAATTGACTGCTGTATTATCTAAAGATAGAGACTCACTGGCTCTAATTCAGCAGTTCCTATGGGCACCAGTGAGACACTTACCCACTGGATTAAGGACAGTATAATATTTTGCTTTAACTTCTCTGTAATGAAAATGTGTGTTTGCTGATGATCAAGACAGAAAAAATTTTTTTGTTCCTTGTTTTCTCCAGACTCTAGTTTTTGTGTTAGTCCAGAATCAAGGATGCCTCTTGTTGCAGAGACTACTACTTGACCTCCAATATCTACTTTTTACATCTGCCTTCCTTAGTAATTCAGCTGCCCCCGATTTTTTTTCCCAGGGCTCATGCTAACCTGGAATACATATTATACTCCCCAGCCTCCCTTACAGTTAGATGTGGCTACACGACTCAGTTCTGGCCAATGGAGTGTATGTGGAAGTGCAACTTTTGCATATAGGATACTTTCCTTTATGGAAAGGGGAAAGCCGTTCTTCTTTCTTCCACCTGGCTGCCTGGAGTGTGGATGTAGTGGCTGGAGCTCCCAGGTCTATAAAGGACCATGTTCTTCGGTAGGGAAGCTGTGCATACAGAACAAGATAGAAGAAGCTTTACATTTTGATACCGTGGAGCTTCCATATAACCAGCCTCTGGACTGCTCACCTCTTGAATTCCATCTGAGGAAGGAATAAGCAACTGTATTGTTTAATTAAGTTTTCTTTTGGCTTTTAATTGTAGTGAGAATCTAATTTGAACTAATATGGTCCCCTGAGCCAATAATCTGTATTCTGTTATCAACTGCAATTCCGTTGTTTAAAACTTTTTTATAAAACAGGTAAGTTCCTGAACTTTTTTTTGTAAGTTTGAAGATATTTTAAATATAATAATAAGGGTTACACTTTAAAGAAACCATATAGCAAATTCTTTTATAAAGGATTTACATTTTTTTATTACAAAAATGTTTTAAGTGCCAAATCCTGGAATGGGGACAAAAAAAGACATTAGTGGAAGTATTGATGAGACCTAAATAAAGTCTGTAGTCTGGTTAACAGTGTTGTACTAATGTTCTTTTCTAGTTTTGATAATTGTACAATGGTTATGTAAGATGGTAATGTTAGAATAAGCTATCAGGTGGGTTCAAAAGTAATTTGCAATTTTTGCCATTGAAAGTGATGGGAAAAAATGCAGTTACTTTTGTGCCAAACCCAATAGTCACAGGGTATGTGGAAATTCAACTCAGCACTTCTTTTAAAATTATGGTAAAATATTCATAATACAATTTACCATGTAAACAAATTTAAATGTACATTTCAGTGGCATTAGTACATTCGCATTGTTCTGTAACCATTACCACTATCCATTCCTAGAACTTTTTCATCTTCCTAAACCGAAACTCTGTGTCCATCAAACACTAAATCACCATTTTAACCCTTCCCCCAGTCTTTGGCAACCACCACTCAATTTCTGTATCTATAAATTTGACTACTCTAGGTGCCTCATAGAAGTGGAATTATACACTATTTGTCCTTTTGTTACTAGCTTATTTCACTTAGCGTAATGTCTGTAAGATTCATCCATGTTGTAGCCTGTGTTGGAATTTTCTTTTTTCTTTCTTCCTTTTTTGTTTTTTTGAGACAGAGTCTTGCTCTGTCACCCAGGCTGGAGTGCAGTGGTGCGATCTCAGCTCACTGCAAGCTCCGCCTCCCAGATTCACGCCATTCTCCTGCCTCAGCCTCCGGAGTAGCTGGGACTGCAGGTGCCCGCCACCACACCCGTCTAATTTTATGTATTTTTAGTAGAGATGTGGGTTCATCCGGTTAGCCAGGATGGTCTCGATTTCCTGACCTCGAGATCTGCCCACCTCGGCCTCCCAAAGTGCTGGGATTACAGGCGTGAGCCACCAAGCCCGACCTGTGTTGGAATTTTCTATTTAAGATTGAATCATACTGTTGTATGTATATACTATATTTTGTTTGTTCATTCATCTGTTGATACGAATTTTGAGGGACAAAAACATTTGGTTGATAGTAGCTTCCAAAAGATATTCACATCCTAGTCCCCAGAACCTATGAATGTTTCCTTATGATGGCAAAGAAGGATTCTGTAGGTCTTGAGATGGGGAGATTATCCTGGATTATCTGGGTGGGGCCTAAATGCGTTCACACAAATCCTCAGAAGAGGGAGGCAGAAGGAGATTTCAGCAGAAAAGAAGGCAATATCAGCAGGGAGACAGAGAGTAGAGTGACAGTGATGCAGACCGAAACCAAGAAATGCCCAGAGCCATCAGAAGTTGGAAGAGACAAGGAGTGGATTCTCTCTTAGAGCAGGCTAAGGGAGTGTAGCACCTTGATTTTGGCCCAGAGATACTGATTTCAGACTTCTGGCCTTTAGAACTGTGAGGGAATACATTTCAGTTGTTTTAAGCCGCCAAGTTTGTGATGATTTGTTACAGAAGCCACAGGAAATTAATACATCATATAAAAATTAGCTGATGATTTATTAACAGGATGCCAAATGTTCAGCTGGTGAGATATAATTTATATAGACAAGTTATGGAAATGACCTAATTTTTCTTTATCTGTCTCATTTGGCATCATGTTATATGACTCAGAATTTCTGCATTTGTTATAATATTCTTAAAAATGTTTTTTTCCTGACTGGTAAAATAACAATACATGTTAGTTAAAGAAAAATCAGAAAATACAGAAAAGTGGGCTAAGCACGGTGGCTCACTCCTGTAATCCCAGCATTTTGGGAGGCTGAGGTGGGCAGATTGCTTGAGCTCAGGAGTTTGCGACCAGCTTAGGAGACATGGCAAAACCCCATCTCTCCAAAAAATGCAAAAATTAGCCAGGTGTGGTGGCATGCGCCTGTAGTCTCAGCTACCCAGGAGGCTGAGGGATGATTGCTTGAGCCTGGAGGGTAGAGGTGGCAGTGAGCTGTGATCTCGCTGCTGCACTCCAGCCTGGGCAACAGAGCAAGACCCTGTCTCAAAAACCAAACAAACAAACAAAAATATGAAAAAGCATAAAGAATTAAATATAATCTTATCCGCAATCCCAACATTCAGTTTTGATGACATTTAGATATATTTCCTTCAAGTCCTCTCTTTAGATTTACAAACTGCTTTTATAATAACATCTCACATTTATTTCACATAGAATCAGTTTGTGTATGATATGCATTTATTAATGAAATAATATTTTATATAAAACATTATTGTCCATAAACTAATCTGGATGTAGTAAACTGGATTGGCTGAACTATTGTGTTAGTTAGTACTAAACTAACACGATAGAGAAAAAGGTTTAATAATCTCTCTTTTAAAATATGCATTTGTTTTATATCTATTTGTGACAGAGTTTTGATCTCATTGTATATAATTACATATTATATACATTTTCTTCTTCTTTTTTTACATAACAAAATTGTTTCCCCAAATTATTAATAATTTATCCTATATGTGATTTTAAATGTCCATATAATACTCCATAGAATATCATGTATATTTCTATACCTATAAAATATGGAAATAGCCATTTCTCACATTTATAATTTTTATTTATATCATTTATCATTTTTATTATTTTCTGAGACATAATAGATGTACACATTTGTGGGGTACATGTGATAATTTAATACATTCATATATTTGTAAAGATCAAATTAGTGTAATTGGGATCTTTGTCTTTTCTTTATGCTGGAAACATTCAAATTATTCTCTTCTAGCTATTTTGAAATATATAGTAGGTTAATGTAAACTTATAATCAACACTCTGCAGAGCATCTTTGCACGTAATAATTGGGTCCATTCTTGGTTATTTGTAAATTGTTCATTCCATGTACTTTATCCTTTTATTCATTTATCTCTTGTGGGCCCTAGTTTTTTCCTTAGTAATTTATATAAAAAAGATGTAAACACTTTCAGATAACAAAACAGATTTTTATTATTTGTGCTTATTTAATTATAGATATACTTGTATTCTGAACCAAAATGACAATTATATTATAATAAATCCAATCCTTTGGTTATCTCAATGAAAAATTATTTCTGCTTTATATGTGTAGGATATACCCTATTAGTAAATGCACTGATTTTTAAACTTAAAACAAAACAGTAGTTGATAATCTTGGATATCACGACTTTACTGTTTTAGAAAGTTTTTCTCTAGATCTGCCCCTGTTATCTATTACAATCACCCTTCTTAGCTAATACCAATTTCTTTTACTAAGGTGAATATTTAGGGAAAATTAGAAATGGAAATTTAGAATTAGAAATTAGAAAATCCCACTCAGGCAGTAATTCTGAAATCTTAAATATTATTGGTTTTCAAAATGATTGTATTTGCAATTGAAGCAAGAGGTCTAAAGAAAGAGGGGAAAAAAAGCACAAAATCCTTTGTTCCTGAGCCTTTGGAACTGACAATTTCTATTGAAAAAATTTTTTAAAGATGTGTGTACTTCAGATAAACAAAGAAGCATTTTTAGGGTGGAATCAGATTTTTCAAAGGCAATGAAATGTTCAAGGGTTCACACAACTGTTAGATATTTTCCCAAATGGAGGCCAAGGAGAATAATTGTGGAACTGGAAGGGAAATAGGAATTAATGAGATGCGTCCTTGGAAGGCAGGTTACAATACAGCTCCAGACAAGTGTATCCATTGGGAACTATGCCTCCAGCTGCTGGAATACACTTAACTAGATAAAGACTCTTCATTTCATCCTGGTAACTTTTAATTTTGTTTGCATATTTAATTTAAAGGTTTTAATTGTGTGTATTGCTTCAGGAATCTCTTGTTGATAGAGCATATATCATTTTTCTTCCTTTTTCAAAATAAAAAGCTCTAGAGAGAATACCTTTTCCCCAATATTTGAACTTTAATCCCTGGAATAGTATCTAAATCTAAATATACCACTTTGCAACTTCAAGAAGATATTATAAATAATCTTATCTATAAAGTTGAAAATGTACAATAAACAATTTTGTAAACTTATGACACTAGCAGTTCAGAAGAGACCACCGGTAGAAAAATTTATTTAATACAAAAATTTTTTGGCAGAAGGCTTTGAGAATACCAGAATGGCAATTCACTTAATATTAATAAAGCCCTTTTAGAAGCTTTAGATGAATGGACTAATAGCTTCGTTGAACTGACTATACAGCAAATCCTTATGCAACATAATTAGAAATTTCCCAAATATATTGGGGTGACTTTCCTGGAAATATGTATGTCTTCATCCCTCTTAAAACTCTTAATAAAGCTATTATTAAAGGCAAATTTGAAAAATATGAAGTTACTTAAAATGATAATGTTATTTTTTAAATATTAAAATATCTTGAATAAATATGAGTCACAAAAATCAGCTCTTAATTATTCAACACCTGTTTGTTGAGCATTTGTTCAATAAAATATATTGAACATCTTTATGTGACATTCAGTGCTGCAATTAAGGAATACCAACTAGTGGAAGAAAGAGGCACTAATACAGATAATTAAAAAATAATATGGTAAATGCAATTAATTTATTCACTTATATGTTGCCTATTGTAGGTACTAGTTATACAGAGGCTAGAAATCAAACAAAACCCTGGCCTGATTCTGCTTCTCATGTAGTTTAGAGTGTACATTTTGTAAATAAACATAATTAAGAACTGATCATTTTTGTGAATGAACATGGCTGGTGCTATGAGTGAGTTTAGGAGGATATAAGTGAAATTAGGGACAAGAAAAGCTTCTCTGAGAAAATATTTCAGCTGAGGTCTGATGAATGGGTGTTTAGACAAAGAATAAAGGAACCAATAATCTGGGCAGAGGGAAGAGCTTGTTTGTCTTGAAGGTCCTGGCCTGGGAATAAGCTTGTCTAAATTGAGAATCCTAAAGAGGGTAAGTGTGGCTGGAGCTTGGTGAGTGAAAGTGAGATGTAAGAAGCTGAGACTGGAGAGGTGGGAGGGGCCAGAGCATGGAGGGCCTGGGAGACCACATAACTTCCATATGGGGAAGTCATTCAAGAAGTTTCTACAGAGGACTCACATGATCTAGAAGTATGACTTTGAAAAGATCCAGGAAGAGAGGACACCTGGGAAGGGCTCTCTCTCTCTCTCTCTCTCTCTCTCTCTCTCTCTGTGTGTGTGTGTGTGTGTGTATGTGTGTGACAGAGAGAGAGAGAGAGAGAGGTTTTGTTGAATTATAACCTGTGACACAGGGAGTGGTGGGAAATGAGTTGGAGGGTGGGCCACAGACAGGTCTCAGTGGGTCTTGGTGGGACACATCAGGAGCTTGCATGCTGTGGGAAGGCATTGCATGGTTTTAAGCAGGAGAGTGACATTGTTCAATTTGTAATTAACAGAGCGAATTGTAGCCATCTTGAAGGATATTGCAATATACCCACCTTTAACTGGCATAATGATACTAAAGGTGGCCTGGAGCAGATACACTCAAGAAATGTAAAAGTAAAAGGTAAAATTGGCAGACTTCAGTGACTGCCATATATGACAGGCGAGGAAGAAAAAGAAACCAAGGTTGAAGTGAGGTTTCTAGCTTGAG